GCGCGCGTCTGTGTAAATGTGGGCTAGTGTCTATAAATAGGAAACAGCTTTTAGAAAAAATAATTTCAATTTTAGGCTGAAAGATATTTCTAGGTTCCTGTGGGTAATCAATCATAGCTGCCTAAAAATGGAATATTTCCACACATTTCCAGAAACTAGACAGATCAATAAGGAGAGCCAATTAAACCACATAGCCCAGTCTGGATGAGATACAGGTGAAATTCTGAATACATAAGAGGTGTTCAATGTTTGTTGAATTAATTAATTGACATAGGAATGAATGGCACAACTACATAGGAAATGAAGCTATTAAGGATAATTTATTGCTGGATGACAGGCCCCCATTCCAAATAATTCTGACAAGCTGGTGTTATGCTCGAATTCGGGACCCCCAAAAGACCACCAGAGACCAAGATGGATGTAAGCAGCAAAGAGGTGTTTATTGCGAGCTAGCTTGGTCCTCCACGCATGCACACACCCAAATGGTGACGCTGAGAGGCCCTGAGCCCAGGGTTTGCAGCAGTTTTATACACTCTTTGGGGAAGGCAGGGACTTCACATACATCATAGCATCTCTTAGAAAATCATCACACCCCGAGGGAAAACCATAAAACAACTCTAAAACATGATTAGCACATTCACTGGCAGGAACAAATTGGGTAAGGGTGATTGGTTACTACAAGAGGGAGATTCACTTGAACTGATTGGTTTAAGCCAAGAGGGGTGTTCATGCTGAACTACATGGTTTCCCAACACCATAAACTACTGGGGGGGTCATCTGGCATCCCAGGTATTTCCCTGTCTCATGCTAATTGGTGTCTGCTAGGGGGTTGCTATGGGTCCCCACCTAGCCTGACTGAGTCAGGGACACCTGGCCAGCAGATCTCTCCTGTTATTTGTAGATAAACAACTCAGCAGGGTGGGAATGTGCCTAGGAGTGCTCTGTGGTCTTTCCAAGGACAAAGGTCATGCCCCTTCCTTGTACAGGCTTTGCTTTGAGATAGAGGCTGGTTTTTCACTGGCCTCTGGGGCCAACATCAATATGACAAAATATAATTTCAGTCCAAACTAAGGACCTAAATTTAGGGTCAAATAATTCAATTTGCAACAAAAGGGGCAAGTTCTAACTAAGCCACACTATGGAATAATAGTTTTCAAATTTTTTATTCTCAGCATCCTTTGAATTCTTAATAATTATTGAGGATCCTGGAAAGCTTTTGTTTAAAGAAATTTTATGTATTGATATTTATTGTTCTAGAAATTAAAACAGTACTTTGAAATTTTTACTTATCAATTCATTTAAAAATAAAAATAAACCAATCACATATTAATATATTTTATAAAACAAACACTTTCTAAAAGATTTAGGGATGGGAGTGGCCTTCCTTTCCATTTTTATGACCCTTCAGGTGCATTTTGTAAGGTTCTGCATTCAGTCTGATGCAATACGGTATCTCGTTGCCTCACTTGAAGTATGTGAAGAAAATCCAGCCTCACACAGATATGTGTTTGGCAAAAGAACATTCTTTTTTCGGGGAAGGAGTACCAGAGATCGAATGCAGGGGCACCTAACTACTGAGCCACAGCCCCTTTTTATTTTTTAATTTTTTAAACTTGTTGATAGACCTTTATTTTATTTATTTATATGTGGTGCTAAGAATTGAACCCAGTGCCTCACACAAACCAGGTAAGTGCTCTACCACTGAGCCCCAGCCCCAGCCCCTTTATTTTTTATTTTGAGACAGGGTCTTAAGTTGCTTAGGACCTCAGTAAGTTGCTAAGGCTGGCTTTGAACTTGTAGTCCTCCTGCCTCAGCCTCCTGAGACACTGGGATTACAGGCATGCACTACCACACCTGGCAGGAAATGGACATTCTTGATGTCAGACCAAAACTTGATTAAGTGGTAGTTTCTTAAAAGTTTGAAACCATACTGTGAACTTTTTAAAAAAAATCTATTTAYTTGTGGATGAACACACAGTATCTTTATTTTTATGTGGTGCCGAGGATCAAATCCAGTGCCTCACACATGCAAGGCAAGCGCTTTACCACTGAGCCCCAGCCCCAGCCCCATATATTGTGAACTTTTTGTAGTCTGTTATATTAAAATCCATTGACCTGTGACAGAAAGATTAATTTTTTTGTCATTGGCAACAGGTTCTGTCAGTTGTTTTCCTTGAAGTGCAGCCTTACCTTATTTTTGAGAAGATGTCTGCCAAATAAGGGAGTCTGAATAACCAGGTTGTCAATCTTTGTCTCAACGAAAGATGGTGAGTCAAGCAGGTATTTGGCTCAAATAATTGTGTTCAGTATTTTTTCTCCAGGCAACCATGGTATTTATGTGTGCAGCACCTGTATTTCCTGTCCACAGGATTCCTCCCTCACATCAATCCTACCAAGTCGTCCCCTGTCATTGTAAAAGAGTGCTTGTTTTGTCTGCTCTGGAGCTCAGATTAATCCCTAACCCCTAGAGAGAATAAATGGACAGAGGAACAGGTCCATTTCAGGAGGCTGGGAGGAAGTGTGCATTGCAGCTCTTGGTAACCTTTGCTTTGGGGGAAATCCTCTCTGCATCAAGATGAACTTCCTTGGGGAGGTCTGTGAGTGGCACCAGTGACTTCTCACTGAGCAGGGAGGGTCTGTGTTCCCTCCTCTAAAGCAGCTCCTAAGCACTGCTGATAAGAAGATGACTTAGCTAAGAAATCATGAACACCTCCTGACACCTCACTACTAGAAAATGGAAAAACAAAACAAAACCCAAGGAAGGTGAGACATGCGTTTCCTGGTAGAGTCGTTCTTCTGTTCAGCAAACCCTAGAGCTTACTGCCCCAGCAGCAGGCACACAGCTGGCTGCAATGGCCAAGGGGTTCACTCTCTGGTGGGGAAGGTATAAAGAGAGGATCACAGGCTCATCTCTTGGGGAAGGGCATGGCCTGCAAATCTCTGCATGATTGGGTCCTGTACCCTGTCCCAACCTCATCCCCACTCTATCCTTGTTCTTTCTGCCCATCATTGTATCTTAGCCACACTGAATGACATGGGAGTACTTGAATAAGTGGTGCTATTTTGTGCCTTTACCCCTCTCCCTAGTTAGCAAGGACTGCCTGTGTCACATTTCTGGCAGCAGATTTCCATCTGTGGCAGAGCCCAGCTGGAAGAAGGGGAAGCCTGAACCTAATTCAATTCTGAAATTTTATCTTTACTTGAGATTGGACATTTCATTTCATGAATTGAGGCTGTTTTGTGACTTAAAAGTAATCATAGCTTCCTGTTTAATCTAAGATTGGTCCAAAAATTTTGAGGCTAGTCCTAGTTTTCACCCAGGGTCAGGGAGAACTAAAACCTCCAGAAAAAATATGAAGGAATAATAGGAGAAAAAAATAAATATTGTTATGATAAGATGCTAAGAACCACATTTGTTTCCAGGTACCCATGCCTGTCCTTCCCTTGACTGTGATTCCTTCCTGTCTGGAAGAAAGACTATAAGGAGAGGAAGTCCTCAATTAAGATCGAGTGGCACAGGGGTGGAAAGAAACCTTGGGCAGGGCAGGCTCTGTCCAGGGAGCATAGGTTGGTGGCAGGACTCAAGTCTCAATGTTGCCCCAGGAATCGGCCTCCAAACCTGACAGGGTCTCTCAAAGGGGGGCTGGGAGTCTTCAGTGGAGCTGCCCCTCACCATACAGAAACTTTCTAATGCAAATGAACCCCAGAAAGGCAGTATAACTGCAAATAAGTATCAGCCAGGTGGAGATGACAGACACCAAATCCTTTCCTGATGGCACTGTGCTCCTCCAGCAGACACCAGAGAGAGGAAAAGGGAGCCATTTAAAAGGAAAGGGTCATGACCAAAGATAAGGGGGAAAGGAGGCCACCTGGCTGACTGCCTGTCTCACCGCCCACCGGATGTGCACGCAGAGTGCAGTGTAACGAGGTAATGCAGAAAAAGGTTGACAGGTCAGGAAATGCACCCCAAATGCACTACTAAATGTCGGAGCTGGGACTTAAATTCAATGTGTCCAGCTCCAAAGTCCATTGTAGCAGGCCACAGTGCCTGGCTCTGGGTCAGCAAGCCCTCGTGTTCATTTTCTTCATCTTGTGTGCACCTAAGAACTGGGGTCCTGGGTGATTTGCATGCCTGTGCACACCATCCCTGCAGGGCAACTGGGTGCGGAGACTTAGGGCAGTGCTCAGGTAGGCTGCTGTGGGGGCTGGAAGAAGGTCTCCAGGCCTCATCCAGTGCCCTGGCCACCTCGGCCCTACTGTGTACATCCTATCTTCCTACCTTGGGGCCTCCATCGGCCTTCTCAGGCATGTGCCCCACATGGCAAGGCTCACCGCCTTCTCGGGCGTCACAGGACTGCTGGAGGGCAGCCAACACACTATTAACCAACCAACCTGTCTCATCTATATGTACACAACCTGTCACATCTATATGTTACTCCCTCACAGGCCAGTCTCATGCTGGAGCTGGGGACCCCTTGTCTAAAACCTGGGAGAGTCACCACACCTAGATCAGGCATCAACCAGTGAACTGAAAACCAAGGAAACCCCCCCCCCCCCAAGTCAGTCAAGGGCAAAGGATACCCTCCCTCTGGTGATCTTCACTCATATCTCTCCTATAGGTGAAGGGCTTAGAATATGACCACCGGCTACTGTGATCATGATATTTTCTACAGCGTATCACAACAGGTCCCCCAGCTTCTGAGGCGTTGAACAACACGTGTGGGGATGGGGGTTTGGTGCCACTTTGGGCTTGGTCTGAAGGCCCTCAGCCTGTCCTCAGCTGCTGCAGCAAATCTAACATCAGAAACTGTTGTCCAGTGCCTGGTTATCTCCTCTGAAGAACATTCCCTCCTGGGCAGCCCATGTCTGACACCCGTCTAAGTGCTCAGCACCTAGTAAGACAGCACACAGCAGTGGCATGACCCATGCTTTGATGCTTTGGGAATATCAATTGAGAAGAGACAAGAGTTTTCACAAATTGATACATTTACTTCATTATTTGTCAGTCAGTTGTGTACATATAGATGTCACTTTAAGTTACATAATTGCAAGAACATGAACACATGCTAGCTCATCCCCCTGGCTGAGTGCCTGGGGAAAATTCAAATCCTTTTGTGGTTTCTCTACATTTTGTGATAGCTCCACCCACCTTGGCCACTTCCCCCTGGACCTACTCCCCTTCTCCCCTGCCCTCCCTTCCCTCCGTGATATGGCAAGGCAGGGAAGGGCCAGTGAAGACAGACTGCAGGTTCAAGCGGCCTGCTGGCCTGGCGTCTGCCACAGCTGCTTTGGTGTTCTTGCTGGTCTCAGGTAGTGTACACTTTGCCACTTTGAAGAAACTAAATTCCTTGAAGGCAAGGACCAGGGCCTCTTTGTCCCTGGGCATGGAGGGACAGGGGACATGAAGAGCAGTATCTTGGTAGACTGCTGAGCATGAGTCACCCATGGGGGCTCTGAGGCTCCAAGCTGGGACAGGACAAGCTCACGAACAAATCACTAAGACGTGACGCAGTGGGTGCTACAACAGAGATGTGCAGAGCACTATGGGAAGGGAAGGGGCCGCGCAGAACAGCTTCCTCAGAGGGACATTTATTGGCAGGTACCATATCCTACATTAGGCACTTCAACTCCATCTTATTTAATCCTCCTCAAGTAGGAAACCAATCTTAAAGGCGAGTCACCAGAAAAGCTGCTGAGCTGGGCTTCAGATCCAGATCTGTCGGCTTCTCAAGCCTACTCGCTTTCCTCTGTGCAAGCGGCCAACTGTGGGGAGATCTGACGTGGGGCTCAGGGAATGGTAGAGAGACCTCCAGAATAAATGAATCACTTTCAGCGCAAAGTAAAATAATAAAAAAACAAAAATGAAAAACACACAAAAGAAACAAAAAAACACCAAATTCTCCCCAAATTTCACATCGTGACTGGCTGGAAGAGCAAACATAAAGGATGCTGGAAACATGACCGTGGAGAGAAGAGCTGTCTGAGCGGATGTTAGCTTTTTCCTCCTGATTTCTTGTTCTCTCAGCCAACAGGGCCAAAGAATATTCCAAAACTGCTGCTGCTGACTGGCTCCAGGAGAAGAGAGACCTCTGGATTTTAAATGTCTCTAGGACAGCTTCACTTTGGGCTCTGGAGTCTCAGTTTTGTTTTTTATACTGTAAGATAGAGAGATTAGAAGTGGGTGAGGGAAGCCAGTGGGGAGAGAACTTGGGAAATCTCAAACCCTAGTCACCTAGGTCTCCCCGCCTCCAGCAGGGGCTCCTCAGCAGTGGTGACACCCAGGCAGGAGACACTGGACAGTCCAATCTCTAGTTCATGCCTGGACCCTCTCTTTCATTCAACAGAAAAAGAAGCTGTTGGCCTTGGTTGGGGGCAAGGGGAGGCTCATAATAAGGAAACTGGTAACATTAGAAATGAACATGTGGTTACCCATACTTTGAATCTTGTTTGAGGAAGAAAATTCTCAGGATCTGAGAATTTCTCTGAGAGGAAGACTCTCAGAAATCATAGGATGATCCTCTGCCAATCACTGTTTACAAAAATGGACCCGGAACCCCATATTTGGAGATTCTGAGTTGGAAGGATAGGGAGCTAGGGGCAAACTCCTTCTCTAGGTTGTTTTAACACCAACTACATTCCTGTCTCACTCCCTTCCTCCACCCAACAGATCCCTGAATGATTCCTCAATAATCCTGCCAGTTTGAGTACCCTGGAGCCCCCAAACAGCTGTCCTCTTGGAGCCACTACAGCGCTGCTGCCAGCTCTGGCACCACTGCTTCCAAGGCTGTTCTCTCCCTTCGCCTAAGTCCCCATTCCAGCTTGTTCAGCACTTTTGGCAGAAATCTGCCTTTAAGGATTAAGGGTGAACCCCTCACCCAACCTTGCAGAAAATAAATGCATCCAGAAGAGGAGTAGCTGGTGGGGATGGCCTGAGCACTGGCCCTTCTCAGCTGCGGGGCGGGGGCGCCTCCTAGTGGTCACAGTTATCACTGCCCCATTCTCAGGCTGAGGTGGGAACCAAGCACTTACTTTGTTCATGATCCAGTCAGCATCTTCAATGGCTCTTTTAATAATCTGCTGGATTCTCTCAGGGTTGTCTTCATCTGAATGAACTCGAAAACTCTGGAAGTTTCGGCATAAAAAAAAAGATGACTAGACAAAATTCACAGAGCCAGCAGCTTCAGAGCACCAGTCCTTGGCCAGATAACACTGCTAGCAGGATACACCCAGCATCTCTTAATCCTCTATGGTTATGATTATTCCACTTAGAGCTGAGGAAACAGGGGCTCAGAAATCCAAACATGCTGCTAAGCAACAGCATTTGAATTCTAGTCTATTTGATTGCAAAGAGGACAATCCTGGCATCAGGGCAGATGCTTAAAGGACTGACCCCCTGGGCCAGGGGTTATCAGGGAGGCTATCAGGGCTAAAGGGAAACTTCAATCTCTCTGTTGAATTTGCTCCTCACTGAAGCTGCTTTCCTCAGAGTGAGACCTCCTCCTCCCTCACACCAGGAAGAGGGCTTCTCTCTGGAACAGCCAAGCAGGGACAGAAGGCAGTGGAGGAGGTGGCTTTGAGGAATCCAGCCAGGCCCAAGACAGAGCACAGGCTGATGTGGGCTTCAGACCAGTCTGAGATTTGGGTTCACTGGGGTGATTCTCAGGGCCCTTTAGAAAGAACTGGTACCTCCCTTCCCTGTCACTCCCAACCCCACACATCCCCCTTCTCTCTTGAGGAACCACCTCAACTCCCTCCTCTGGGAAGCCCTCCTGACTCCCCCAGATGGCTAACTACTCCCTTCTCTGTGTTCCCACAGCCTTCTGTTGCTACTTCTATTTTTTTTAACTTTTCATATTATACTTGTATGAATTCTAATTTTTAAATTTTTTATTTGGAAATGATTTATTACAGAAAGGTTGCAAAAAAAAGTACGAAGAATTCCCTTCCACAATCACTAGTTGTTAACATTTTGCTATATTTGCTTTATTGTTCTCTCTTTGTATGTGTATTATAAGGTTTCCTTGGAAGGATTTAAAAGTATCTTGCAGACATTGTGCCCACAAACCCTAAGCACTTCAATGTGCATTTCTTAACAACAAGCGCGTTCTCTTATATAATCATAGTAATCAAATGCAGAAAATTTAACATTTACACTATTATCTAATGTACAACCCACATTCCAATTTCATGTACTGCTCCAATAATGTCCCTTACAGACATTTTTTTCTGGTCCAGAATCCAATCTGGGATTATACATTACATTTAGTTCTCACATCTCTTTAGTCTCCTTTAATCCAGGGCAGCTCTGCTTTTTTTGTGTTTCATGAAATTGACATTTTTTTGGGGGGGTGGGAGTTTGCCAGGGATTGAATTCAGGGCCACTCAACTACTGAGCCACATCCCCAGCCCTATTTTGTATTTTACCTAGAGACAGGGTCTCACTGGGTCATTTAGTGCCTTGCTTTTGCTGAGATTAACTTTGAACTTGCAATCCTCCTGCCTCAACCTCCAGAGCCACTGGGATGACAGATGTGTGCCACCATGGCCAGCTAAGTTGACATTTTTGATGAGTACAGGCCAGTAGGTTGTCTGGTAGATGGTGGTTTGGGTTTACCTGATATTTTCCTGTGATTAAATTCAGGTTGTGTGCCATTGGCAAAATGACGTGGCCTACAATCTATTTCAATTACCCACTGACCTGCCCTATTCATATGCTGGAGCAGAGGTGATATGCTATGAGCAGCCTTGGCCTCCTGGACAGACACCAGAGAGGGGCTGCATTGCTCAGCATTGTTTCCAGTTTCTCTTACCCAACTCCAACCCCCACCTGAAAGACTATCCTTCCCCTGGCCTGACTCCCTGCCAGACCCCCACATTAAAGGACCCCCCCCTGACCCAGTGCATCATGGCTCCCACCTGCCTGACAGCATGTTTGTAATGCTCTTGGATGCCCTTGGTTGGCAGCTGCCGGCAACAACGCAGCAAGTATCGGTAGAGCTGTCGTGGCTTCTGGATCAGCTCTGCCCCAGGTAGAGGGGCCATCCGCAAGACCCTCTGTTCTGGAAAACAAAAAGCATTCCTTCTTAGGTATCAAGTCAGATCTCTACATGGTTCTGGCCTCTTGGACCCAGCCCTTTGAGAAGCAGGCCTAAGGCAGCACAGAAGCCAGGTCCTCTTCTTGGCCCACTCCCATGGAGCCCACACCCTGGGCTGGGTCTCAACCCTGCTGAAGTCTCAGCCCACGAACAGTCCTGCAAGAATCATAAGCAAGCGTGGAGGGAGATACACAGTCTTATCACTGGTGTCTTTTTTCTGGAGTCCAACTTCAGGTGGCGGGTAAGTAGGTGGCACTGAGCAGAGGAGGGAAGATAAGCAAGAAGACTCTGAGTGGCAATCGGAGCAACCAGCTCTGATGCTGGCCCGGCATGTCCTAGTGACGGCACCAGGGAAGAGACTGGAGAAGCTACTCAAAGCACAGCCCTAGACCAGCAGCAATGGCATTACTCAGAAACTTGTCAGAAATACAGAGTCTGAGGCCAACCAGATTCCTTAGACCAATCTGCATGCTAACAAGATCCCAGCAGATTCATATGCACATTAAAGCTTGAAAAGCATGATTCTAGAAGGCTCTGTATGAAGAAGCAGCTGCACACGGAATAACCAGGTGAAGTCAGAGCCTGGGCATATGACTTTACTTCACTGTGTGTTGAGTGCTGAGCACTTACCTGTTATATTCACTTACATGCAATTCATGCATACATTAAAAAACTAAGCACAGAAGTCTGGTAACTTGCCCAAGATCACAGCTGATAAAGGTAAAAACTGAGATTTCAACACTGGCAATCTAGCTCCAGAGCCCATGTTTAAGAAAAAAACAGCTTTACTGAAGTGTTGTTGACGAACAATCAAGCGCACACATTTAAAGGGTACCATTCCATAAGTTTGACCTCAATGCATTCGAGAGATATCATCACCACAATCAAGAGTGAACATACCCATCATCCCCAGTTGCCTCATGCCTCTTTGTCATCCCTGTCGTCCCCACTTTCCCATCCCCAAGAAAATACTGATCTGCTTTCTATCACTGCAGGTTTGTTTGCATTTTCTATAGTCTGTATAGTGGAACGATACTCCGTGCTCTTTTGGGTCTGCAGAGCCCATATTCTTTTCTTTCTTTTTAATTTAAACTTGTTTTTTAATATATCAAACATAAAAATTTTACAAATGTATACAGTACCAGTGATATTTCAAAATGTGTATACATTTTGTAATGTTTAAATTGGGTTAAACATGTCTCCCTCCTCACTTATCATTTCTTTATGGTGAAAATATTCAAAATCCTTTCTTCTATAAGACCTATATTTTTAATCTTTGTATTATACATGTCCTCTCCAAAGAACYCACAACCCTAGCCTGAACTTTGTCTTTTTTTTTTTTAAGGAAACTATAAGCATATAAATGTTTTTAAATGGTAGATTCTAGAATGTAAGGACTAGTTAAACATTCATTAAGAGACTCCCAGCCCACAGCCATGTCCCTCCCTGTGCTCACTGCCCCATTGGCTCAGGCCTGAACTTCTGCCATAGAACTCTGCCTGGTGCCCCTGCCTCCTACGTCACTCCAGTCTCCTCCACACTGCCACCAAAGGAGCTCTGGAACCAGTATCCTGGGTACATTCCATTCAGCCACAGGAACATCTCCCAGATCCCAAAGCATCACCTCTCAATACCTTTGTAGATGCAGTCTGCTGAGCTCTATGCTCCCTTTCCCATCTCCTCACTCAGCCTTCCAGATCCAGCTCTTTCCTCCAGGAAGTCCTTCCTGGCACTGTTCCTTCCTGGGGATAGGGGAATCACTCCATGGTTTGTGGGGCTACAGGGCCCTGGTCACAGTGCTGCTGCAGTACTTCTCACTGGGGAATTCATCTGTTGCCAGGCCAGTGGCTCCCTCTAGGTGACAGCCTGGCCCAGGTTCCAGTGTAGCCCCTCGCCCACAGCAGTCTTCACACACTGGTTGAGCTGAACTCCACGAGTCAACTATCTCCTTTGTACAGATTTTCCCTCTCTGAGAGATAGGCTCTCTGTGTTCCAGCTGAAGGAGCTAAACGACAGATTAAGTGAATGATACAAGTTTAAAGTAGTATAAAAAAGAGCAAGACAACCTTCTTATCCATACCCCAGCCAGAGAGAAGCAAATACTAAATCTATCAAATGTCCTTACACTAAGGAAAGAAAGTTATTAAGAAGTTCCTTCAGGGCTGGGGATGTGGCTCAAGCGGTAGCGCGCTCGCCTGTGCAGCCCGGGTTCGATCCTCAGCACCACATGCAAACAAAGATGTTGTGTCCGCCGAAAACTAAAAAAAAAAAAAAAAGGAAGTTCCTTCACAGCCTCAGCAATTTAGTGAGGCCCTAAACAACTTAGTGAGATCCCTAAAAAAAGGGCTGGGTATGTGACTCAGTGGTTAAGCAACCCTGGGTTCAATCCTTGGTCTCTTCAGAACATCAGGGTTCAGAAGCTCCTTCATTCCCCTTCCAGCATGTTATCTTCCTGACAACAATACACATCTGTAATTCCTCCTGGTTCCCTCTTGCTCTGTCTCTGAAATGGACAGTGGTTGTCTTCCCACCATCCCCTGGAATAGCTTTGTGTGCAACTCAGGATACATCCTTCCACAAGTCTCAGCCCTCCAGACCAATCAGAGCTTTGCATCCATGTGAGCTCAGGGATTGGTTCACAGATTGGCTCACAGCTGGAAGCTGATCCAATCAAAAGTAAAGCTCACCATCTCTGAAAATGAGACTGAAAGGACTCCAGCTCTTCCCCACTAGTGTTGATCCTCTCAGGGAAGCCATCTTGCCTCCTACTGAACCCTGACACTGCAGCCTCACCACAGAAGGCAGAGCTGAGACCCTGAGAGAAACCAAGTCTAAAGAACTCATGTGAGCCCTAAAACCATCCACCTCAAGGCACCCCAGTCCTAGAACTCTCAATGATATGAGTCCTTTGCCAAAGCTGCTTGTGCTTGTTGTTTAGTCACTTGCAATCCAAAGAGTCCTAAATGGATGACAGATTCTGACCTCCCAAATTCTGTTTCCATGATGTACTCAGTTGGTTCTAGCTGTAAGGAAGAGTCTAAAAAGGATAAGGTTCCTCAAGTTCCTTCTACTATGAATCAACATCAGTCTGACTAGCCACAGGTAAGCCCCCAAAACAGAGGGGACCCCACACAGTGTTGGCCAAGAACTTCAAGGGCAACCATAGAGGACATACAAACAGAGTCCCAAACATGATGGGCAGATTCCCCTGGCAGGCTTCCCCAAACTATATAAAGTGCTAATCAAATATTGTAAAATGCTAGTCGTGTAACAGATGGTTACCATCTGTAGTCCTCAAAATTAACATTTGGAAAGAGCACAACTTTGTTTCGTTTCTTAAAGCCCAAGCAATACTTAGTAACCAACCCAGCAAGTATGGGCGGTAGATTATTTTCAGCTCAATTATAATACTTAGTCATTCTCAGTAATAACTAGTAGAGAATACATGTGTGGGTCCACTTAGAAGAACTAAATTAAAAATGTTTTAATTTAATTTAAAGTGTAGGCTTGTTATTAAGGGGCAACGAACTTCACAGCATCATTGCTAAAACAAGAGTCAAACCCTGTGACCCTGGAAATGCTTGCTTCTCTTCCTTGCCCTTTGGACTTGACCTTTGCTTCCCACCCAGGCTCCTTGCGTCTGTGATGGCATCTTCATTGCCCTGGCAACCAAACTAAAACCATCACAGAGTGAACTCACCTCCTCCTTCTCCCTCAATCTCCAATCCACTGGTTTCTAAGTCCTATCAAATTTTACCTCTAATTTTTCCTCAAATTTGTCTCCTCCTCTTGGTTTAGACTCCATGTATGTGTGTGTGTGTGTGTGTGTGTGTGTGTGTGTATGTGCACGCGCATATGTGTTGGTATTTCTGGGGATGGAACCAGAGCCTCACACATACTCAGCCAGCACTCTGCGACTGAGCTACGCTCCCAGACCCCCTTTTTTGACACATGATCTCATTAAGTTGCTCAGGTTGGCCCTGAACTTGCAATCTTCCTGCCTCAGCCTCCCACACCGGCTTTGGTTCAGACTTAAATCTCAACTGTGATAGTCCTCAAGCTGGTTTCCCAGCCTTCCAATCCATTTCTTTCATATATTCTCCACCCAACAGCCAGAGTGACTCTTTCTGAAACATAAATCTCAGGGTATCTTATCCCAAGGAACTTTAACCCTTAATATTCATTCCTACTCCTCATCATTCATGGCAACATTTTCCATAATGTAAGACAAACACCTGAAATTATTTTAAGCAGTATATGGATCACATTTTTTCATTGTAAAGATTTTTATATTTATTTCTATATGTGATGAGAAAAAGCCACAATATCATAGATATTAGGCTTAATAATAGTTTTTAAAGGAATGGGCATACAATTGATTTTTTAAAATGTACCAAGCAAATAATAATGTGACTGAATAAAAATGTGATTGAAATGTGGATATGTCAGAAATCATAAAAGTGGAACTGAAGTTTGGAAAGCACTGGTCTACAGAATAAAATCCAGATTCCTTTCCATGGCCTGCAGTGTTCCTTTTGATCTGGGCCCTGCCCATCTCTCATCTGCACCTCAACACTTAGGCCTAATCCAAGCAAACTGAGCCTTAAATGGCACACTCTGTGACACCGCATTTTCTGTTTTCCTATTTTGGTATCAGCACTGTCACAGAATACCTGGCATGAAGTAGAAGTATTAAGGGATCTCCAGAGAAACACAACCAATTGAAGGGTATATGCATTTGTGTGTGTGTGTGTGTGTGATTTGCTACAAGGAATTATAGAGACTAGCAAGTCTGAAATCTGCAGAGCTGACGTCATAGTTCTAGCACAAAGCCTAAAAGTTGCTGTACAACCAGAAAGGACCAGTGTCTCCATACAAAGGCCACCAAGCAAAAGGATTTTTCTTATTTGGGGAAGATTCAGACTTTTCATTCTAGTCAGGACTTCAATAGACTGAACGAGGTCCACTCATATTAAAGGGGGCAAACTGCCTGATCAAATCTACCAACTTAAATCCATAAATGCCTTCACAGACACACCTAGAATAATGTTCAAATACCTGGGTACCTCACAGCCCAGTCAAATTGACCCATATTATCCCTCCCCCAAAATGTCCCATATCTGTTTGCTGMACCCCCCCCCCCCCGCCCCAGTGTCCTCCTATAATATACTCCTCTGTTTCCTGCAGCTCTCAGTCTTCACTACTCAGCTCTGGGTCTGGCACTTCCTCCTGGGAGCCCTCACACGTTCAGCATCCTGAACCATGTTCAGTGGGATGACCTCAAAAAGCCCTCATCACCCCACAGCACTCTAGCCCAGGCTCCAGTTCAGGCTCTGGCCTGGATTACTGGAAGGAGATGCACCTGCCCTCAGGGCCCCACAAGCCATCCTCCACACAGTGATCACCATGCTTAACTTCCCCACTGAAAATAGTCCCATAACTGGACATTAGAGGATGATGTGAATTATTATTAATCATTAATTTTCTTAGAAATAATAATGATGTTATGGTTATATGTAGAATTCCCTTATTCTTAGGAGATGCAAGTGGGAATTATTTAGAGGTGATGTGTCATCAGATCTGCAACTTATTTTCAAATCGTTCAGCAAAAGCCAACACCAGGAGAGAAGAGACAGAGTGAGAAACATAAGGAAATATGGAGGCAGGCACAGGGGTGCACACCATCATCCCAGGGGCTCAGGAGGCTGAGGCAGGAGCTTCACAAGTTCAAAATCAGCCTCAGCAATTTAGCAAGGCCCTAAGCAACCTGCAAGACCCTGACTCTAAATTTCAAAAAAATACAAAACAGGGGTTGGGCTATACCTCAGTGGTAGAGCACTTGCCTGGCACATGTGGGGCACTGGGTTTGATCCTTAGCACTACATAGAGATAAATAAATAAAATAAAGATGTTATGTCCATCTACAACTAAAAATTAAAAACAAAACAAAACAAAGGCTGGGGATGTGAGTCACTGGTTAAGCGCCCCTGGGTTCAATCCCCAGTACAAAAAAAAAGTGGCAAAATGTCAAGACTTCATTTGGGTACCATTATTTTAACTTCTATGTATTTTGAAAATGTTTGTAATAAAAAGTTATTTAAGAAACACCCTTGGCAGAGAGCCATCCAGTTTTCCTTCCTCAACATGCTCCCTAGTGGCAGGGAACTCACAGGCACCCCATTTTCCTCCACTCAGGCTGCTGGGAAATCCTTCTGGTTCTGAGCTAAAGCCTGCCACCACACAATTCTACTCATTAGTCTCAGCTCTGCCCTCTGGGACTAACATCTTCCCTCACCTACCCCAAATTCCAGTTTCTCACTACCCAAAGTCAGCTACTACAGCCCCCTTGTCATCGMTTTCTCAACATAATCATTGGGAAAGGAATGTCATCTCCCATAGCTTCTGCATCCCACTTGCCTCCTCTAGACATACGTCCCCCATTACTGACATCATTCTCAAACATACTGTCAGTGGGAAAGCAGTAGTTGATTGTGTTCTGACCAGTTCCATCCCTGATGGCACTGTCACCGCCTTTGATCTAGGAATTCAAGGAATGCAGCCTAATCTGAGCTCCATTCTCTGCTCAGGCTTTCACATGGCCCTGGCATCCACTTTAAAAGCAACCTTTCCCCCATGAACTATTATGAAATCAGTTTCCCCATCTTGTATTTTATTAGTTCAGTCCAGAGTCATAATCTACCACACAAGCTATTACCCACAGATAAGGTACAAGAAATCAGAAAGAGATTAACCCTACCTGCCACAAATGACATTTAACTATGCAACACCAGTCAGAGCAGCTAGTGTATGTATAGCTCTGGACTCAGCCCTGGCCATAGAAATGAACAGTGTGACATACCTGGCTGTCCTACCCAATGGCAGGTCTTATTACCATTCAGGGAGCGATTAGTACACAGCAAGTATGAGACCTTCCTTCTGATATCTCATTTAATCCTCACAACAATATTATTGTGTACATACCATTAGCTTCATTTTTGAGATGAGGAAACTGAGTCTCTGAAGGGTTAAGTAATTTGATAGAGGCCACACAACTAGCTAGCTCATGGTAAGGTAAGGCATTGAACCTAAGTCTATTTGATTCCAAAGCTCATGCCCTTACTTGCTTCATGATACCACCTGCTGTGTCTATGTCAGCCATCCATAAAAATACTAACCAGATCAAGGTAGAGGACCCCACAAAGAACTCTTTCAGGACTCCTGAAGGACCAGGTTCATGCATTTATTAAAGCACTTGACTGGACTATTATTCAGTACTTCTTAACCTCCTCCACAAAACCTTGTTCCATGCTTTAAAGAAACACAAGGACATCACCTAGAGTGCCCCTGCCCCACCTCTGCATGTAGATGAAAAAAAGTCAGACTAATGTCAATTACACAGATAAAGAAAGGGGACCACAAGAAAATGCTAAGCATGAGCATGTATGCACACACACAAACAACTACAAAATCCAAAAGAGACTATGACAAGATAAAGGAAAAGGGGAGAGGAAGCCACAAAGGAAATTTCCTGAGAGCCAAGTGTTATCCCTGACACAGATGTTCAGAAACAGGCCTCCAGGCCCCCCACTGTTCTTTTCCCTAACTTGTGTCTGGACACAGGGCACCTAAAAGTAAGTGGGAAATATCATACATTAAAAAAAGAATGGCACTGCAGAAAATAACCAGAAATTATGCCCTGTTGAGTACTGATAAAAGCTAAATTTAAGCCTGCACAAGCCATTTTTAAATACGCAATTACTCTTCTTGATGGGGAAAGCTGAAAAATAGGAATGTCTTTGCTCCCTGTCCCTGTCCACTCCAGTGCTCCATTTCCCAAGCTACAAATGGGACAGCAATCTTGCTTCCTCCACTCCCTCTCCTGTGCAGTCAAGTTCTCAACCAATGCAGCCCTTGCCCCTCACTCCTACTGGCACTAGTTTGGATTCCAAATTTGTACCTTTCTCTTGCATGGACTCTCCAAATACCTCCTAATCTGATTCTCTCCATCCAGTCCAATCCCCACAGTGCCACCCAAGGACACTTGCTAAAAAATACACTGTCACTCCCTTTTCTTTAAAACCTCTGCAGGCAGTTCTTTAGCCATGTCCTCCTATCTGGAGGTCTGGTGGGTGACAGTGACGAATTCAAGAGTCCTAGGGGCCACCACTTGATGAATGTATAGATAAATGTGGTGCTTTCATATAATGGAATATTATTCTGCAATAAAAGAAACCAAGGACTGACAGATAACATAACATGGGTGAAACCTGAGAGCATTCTGCTAGGTGAAAGAGGCCAGCCACAAGGGGCCACATAATGTATGATACCATTGATATGAAATGATCAGAATAAGCAAATCTATACAGACAGAAAGAGTAGTGGTTAATCACAGCTGGGAGGAACAGGAAGAGATGGGGGGGTGGGACGGCTAAAGGGGGTGATTTGGGGGGGATAATGGAAATTCCTAAAATTGATTACGGTGATAGATGTAGGTTTCTGCTCACATTCTAAGATACAGTAAATGAATGCACTTTCAATGGGCGAGGCATATGCGAAATAATTTGTATCTCAAAAAAAAAAAAAAAAGCTTTTTTTTTTTTAAAACAACAGTAACAACAAAAAAGATTAATCCTAAAAGCTAAGGATTTTCGGCCACGGAGTCACGGAGTGACTTGCTCTGTAATGCAGAAATACTCAATCAAACCGCTAAGGTTGCTCTAGGTAATGGGGTGCTCCTGCAGATGGAGTGGGTGGTAAGGATTCCTTTTAAAAACGAGCAAACAGGCTGATCCCGAGGTTGGGCCGGGAGATCAGCATTGCAGCCATGGGCCGGGGTCCGGCTTTGCAGAGGCCTGGACACCCCCGGCTCCCCCCGGCCCCCGCACGCCCTCCCTCGCGCCACCGGCCTCCCCAGCTCCTCCGAGGCCGCCCGAGGCGAGGCCTGCGACTCGGCGGGTCCGGCTATCCCGGTGAACGAGGGCGCCCCAGCAGGGAAGGAGCGGCGCGAGTCGCCCCTAGGCTTCCCTCTGGTCGGAGGACGCCGGCAGCTTCCACTTCCCCAGCCCGCCCCCGCCGCCCCAGGTGGCTCGGGTCGCCGCTGCCCCCGCGACCCCGCCCTCGGCCTGCGCGGCGCGGCTCACCCGCCTCCACTGGGGGACGCCAGCCCCGGACGCCGCAGTAGCGGCGGTGACGAGTGCGCCTGCGCCGCGGGAGCCAGCGCAGCACCGCCCCCACCGGGTGACTGCGCGTCGAGCGCCCTCTTCCGGCCGCGCGCGGGACTCGGGGCCCTACTGGGTGCCGGTTCCCTGAAGCGACCCCACCCAGTTAAAAGAAGACAGCTGGCCCCACCAACAGCCCTCTTTACCTGTTCCTTCTGGCTCTTGCCTCCCAGGTTATAAACCTTGAAGACAAGCTCTCGTTCACCTTCATGAGTATGGATTGTGCTATAAAATACTTGGGATCTGAGAAAAGGCTTGCTGGAAGATTCTTCCTAAACCTCTCGGTGGATGATGACAGGAATTATGTTGGGATGGGAATCTGCGTTCATCAAATTCAGCCCCATAACACCTGTCAAAAGAATAAATATGACAGTAATAGGCATGCTTCCTTTCAGACCCATCTATAATTATAATTGAGGCAAAGAATGAAGAATTTAAACTCAGAGCTCCTGCCAGTATCATTCTTTGAAAATGAAATAATGTTGTTTCATTAAATAGGCTCTCCCCGTTCGCTAGTGTTTAAAGCCAAAGTGCTTCTCTGAATTGATTTAAATACAAGTTTTATATCCTGAAAGAAATAAAGATGTGTCTTTATCGTGAGACAAACGCTCTGTTCAATGATGCTGCTGAGCATCTCTGGGCTGTCTGAAAGGGAGTTAGATTGTCGGTGGATAATATTGCTTCTGTTCACGTCTCTCTTCTCTAGGGCTTTTTAAACCTATTTGTAATGAAAAGGCTGATTTTCTTACACAGACTCCATGTGTAGTTGCTTTAACAGAGCAATTTCTTATAATGTTGTCTTTTTTCTTTCCTCATCTTTTTTTTTTTCATTTTAAGGAAAATTTTGCTCACTGGTAGCACCTGGGAATCTATTTTTCTCCTCTTAGAATAAGAGAAGCAGGAGATGTTTCTTAACAGAACTGTTTTCTTAGACTTCCTCCCCTTTCCCCCTTTAACTCTCTTTAGAATTTTCCTTTATTTATTTATTTATTTATTTTTGGTTTCTCTCTTCACCTAACATACTAGACAGCCTCCAAATCAGTGGGGGGCTCCTCCCCTGAAATATTCAGATAATTGCCTCCATTTATTTTCAATATGTAGACTTGTACCAGATACATCTGAAAGATCCAATTGTGCCCTCATAAATCAGCCCTCTTATTTACACATGCATAATCAGGGGCACATCATTAGTGCATATCCAATCAATAAATCATTACGCTTTTAAGCCCCTTATTAGGAACAATCTGCAGTAACATCCTCAACTCCTGTTTTCAGCCTTAGGATCACTTAATATTTTTAACAAATTTCACAATCTGTTCCCTGGTCCCATCTCCCTTTTGTTCCTAGATCGCTGCGTTCCTGCCTCAGAAACATCCTTCTAATACCTAGATCTCATAAAATATTCAAGATGCAAGCTGTTCTCTTTACCTCTGAAAGGCTCCACCTTCAGAATCACTTGTACTTCTTCTATCCTTATAAACACACGAGATTTTATTTTTCACCAAAAAAGATATAAACATCCAAACAACAAGAAAAATAAAATAACCTAAAGTAGGACAGATGTGGCCAACAATCTCCAATATTATTTTCCAAGTCACAACAGAAACTTAGATTTAAAAATAATTGAACTGTGATATTTTTACCTTGACAGAAACCTTAGGTTTATACAGCTTTGGGAATTAAACTAAAGAATTCTTAATAGTTCAAACAGTCACTAAAATGACATGAGTCCCATAATCTAATGAAAACCCAATCATTCTTACCATGTCATTTTCCTTTACACTGAAATTTCAGCAGATGAACACCCTTGTGTCAGAGGGTGCATGATATTTACAGATAAACAGAATTTGGATGACTTTTTGCTTAAGAAATTTGTTACCCAAGAGTTGGCTGTCCTGGGGACATGCTCTCACAGGGGAATTTATCGAATTCCCTAAGAAATACATTGCCACATTCTCTTGATTTCTGACATTGTATCATTTAACCTGAAAACTGCAGATTTGTAACCAGTATTTGTAGGGAAAGATATAAGAAGTCCTGATGCTTCCAGTTTAAACCTGTTTTAAGATTTCAAAGAGAAATGATACATTTGCATGCTCTGATTAAATCAGATTATTGTCTCAAAGGTTGACCATGTAAATAATTCAAATTAATTCATCAGTATACAATAGATTTAATAAGCATAATAAACACTTTGAAGAAAATACTTGGGACCTCCGATCTGCCCTTACTCTCACTCCCCATTATCTCAAATTTCCCTGAGAACAGAATGAGTGGTACCACGTAGTTCTCTTCTATTCAAAATATGCAAAGTTGCTATTTACCAGTTCGAAATTTGCATGTCTCAAATCCTGCCAGAACACAGGGTGAGGGGCATGGGGTGATTGTGCCAAAAGAGGGCACGGGGCGAAAATGGAAACCCAATGAACACATCTTCACCACCCCAGGGTGCTGCAAAACATAACCCTAGCTGACTGCTCAAGATTTGTTTGTAAGACAATGAAAATATTGGGTGTAAAAGGTTATGCGAAATCTCAGACATCTAGTGTCTTTTCTTCTTTAATTGCTGGGTGGAAGAAGAGGATGAGCAAGGATTTCAAGATTTTTATAAAAAAGGAGTACAAAAGGAAAAAGGGTACAATTGTGACTATTTACAACATACACTTGGAGAGTAATTTATAGGCTGGAGTGTTAGCCTTTAGTCTTCTGTCTTGTGTTACTTTCTGCAGCGCCATCAATCTAACCTTGCTGACTGGTATATGTCATTCTCTATTTCTGGTGTGTTCTGTAGTAATTTATCGACGGTGGCCACACTTGAGATCACACTGGTGATCAGGTGCATGTTGTCTCTGAATGTGAGTCTCCACTTTTTCATCTCTGAAAATATGTTCAATGTCTCAAGATTTAAGATTGTAAATAACATGCATGTCCGTACTTACATTTTTTGGTATAAATCACCTTTGGGATGAATTTTTTTTCCCCTCAGAAGAGTATGTGCATTCTGGACGTTTGTATTGCAATATTACTCAAAGAATGAACGTGCTTGGGAACACCATTCTTTTTTTGCATTTTGATGGCGGGTGACTAAAGATCCACTTTAAAATTACCTTGCTCATAATGTGTGACTCTGTTTCCACTGGTGACCTCTGTAGAGTCCTAAGATGGCCACAGRTAAGAATGAAATGCCACAGTTACTAGAAGACTGTAGGAAATAATCTGTTTTGCTAAATGGGGTTATTTGGCAGAGGATGGGAGACGGAGGGGTGGACAGGGGATGAAAGAGAAGGAAGATAGAGAAAAAAAAGGAAGGGAGGAGAGAATGAGAAAAAAAACCCCAGAAAACAAAAAAGAGAGTTATTCTGTTGATTTTGTCCCAAGACAAAGGGCTGATAAAGTTGACTAGCTGAGAAAAAAAAAAAAAAAAAAGGCAACATTAATGAAGGAAAACCATTATTTGGCTTGACCAGGAAATAGGGTGTTCTGGTCCATCAAATATGTAATTAATAGTTACCTTCCACTTTGTGAAACATTTACTGATACTCCTCCATGAGCAAAACTCGGTACAAGGGCCTGGGTCATGACCAAGGCCTTGGCACACCATCCCTCCCCTTCACCCTTTCCTGTCTTCCTCTGTTTTCTGTTGAAGGCAATTCTAATCTTGTCATTGTCCTGCAGTAGACCCCTTAATGGCTTCCCAGTGTTCTCTGAATACTTATGTCAACTTCTTACCACATCCTACAAGACCCTGCCGGGTCTGTTCTCTTAAGCTTCCCCTTCATATCCCTGCAGACTACAATGTTGTTTTGCTTTTTGCAGTACTAAGGATTGGACCCAAGGGTGCTCTAGCACCAAGCTACATCCCCAATCCTTTTTTATTTTATATTGAGACAGGGTCTTGCTAAATGGCCTCATTTTTGTGATCCTCCTGCTTCAGCCTTCCAAGTTGTCAGGATTACAGGCCTGTGCCACTGCGCTCAACTCACAGTGATCTTTCAGATCCTCAAATATACCATGTTCCTTCCATCCTGCTCCTCCTTTCAATCCCAACTCACAGATCTCCTCCTCAATTTCTTGGACACCCCCACTCCTGCCCCACACTGGGACAGAGACCCAAAGTCGTAGCCTGTACCTTTCTCCATGGCATGCATCACAATTTATAATTATATATACCTGAATTTGGATTTCCCCAGAAGAAGACTCTGAAGCAAGGATCTGAGAGCAAGTAATTCATTTAGAAGATGGTCCTAGAAAACACCCAGGAAGGGAGTGGAGAAGTACAGCAGGGAAGGGAAGAGGGCTCTGCCTAGCATATGTGAGGCTCTGGGTTCGATTCTCAGCACCACATATAAATAAATACATAAAATAAAGGTCCATCAACAACTAAAAATACATATATATTATAAAAAGAGGGGGTTAAAAAAAAAAGAAAGAAATCCCTGCCAAGCGAGTTACCACCATGGGCAGCTGAGCTTCATCTTGCTGGGGAGGCAGTGTGGAACACTTATCTCAGTGATCCTTCCCCTCCTCTGTGGGTATTTATACTCCAATTSCTGTCAGTTACTGGCTGAACAATGCTCTCCTGCTAACTCCCTGGTACTTCTAGCCTGCTGTGCTCTCAGGCAGAGATGCAGATGCCGGGCAGCTGGAAATCAGCCAGATATTGCACAATGGTATGGCTCAAGGGATCGTGGATTGGCCACCGACAGTTCTGCTAGTTACATAAACAAATACATTTACATATAACTACATTTACACATAATATGTACAAATGTGCATGTACATGAATATAGTATGCATTTGCGTGATTCTATSAGTCGTATCTGTCTCCCACAGGAGCCCCATGGGAGCAGGGGCTGAGTGTCAGTGTCCTGCCCAGGGCCTGACCCTCACTAAAATCCTTCTCTCACCAACACCCTCAACTTCCTGGTTCCTCTCCCCTTCTGTCACTCAACTCTGGATGAATCAATC